AATGCATGAAAATCCTAACCTCAAAAAAATCACCCGTTATGTATGTAACAAGGACATGCGTGCCATTTTTGCAAATGCGTCACTTGTTGCGCTGCCGCTGGTAGTCGGCTTTAGTATACATACATACCCGTATACATAAATATTTCGAGTGCCAAGGTTTATTTTATTAGCTTAACTGTTAAAGACAGTATTTTAAAATTTTTAACTGCTTGAAATTTTGCTGAAAGGATTATTCAGGCCGATGCCTATACATTATATATATTAAAGAAAAATTAATATGGGGGGAGGGATCCTTATTAAAGCATCAGAAGCCGAATCAAACATTTTTAGAATTTTTGTCTCTCTGTGTGTCTGTCTGTATGTTTTTACGCGCAGCATAATAGATCAAATTAAATGCAGTTTTCACTGATGTATTGCGAGAAGTCTAACTTAAAATATAGAAAGAAAAAAATTAGAGAGTTGCCACCTGTTTTAAAATTGCAGTTTAAGTAAATTGATAAGATAAAGTAAATACTGGAATATGGCTGTCAAAAGAAAGAGGTTTAAGAGGGCTTACAGATGATTTTTTTTGTTGAAGGTTGCCACCTGTTTGAAAATTTTAATTGCAATATGGGTATCAAACTGAAGAGGTTTAGGAAACTTTACTGCCGAAAATATTTTTGCGGAGGGTTGCCACCTGTTTGAAAAATTTTATTCGATAAATTAATAAAATATAATTGATAAAGTTTCAAACAGTATAAAAATACTACTACAGTATAAAAATACTTTCGATCACTCCTGTATATATCAAGCAGAAGTGTTGATAATCTAGTAGTCAATAAAGCTTTTGTCAAAGAGCTATTTAGAGAGGTGAAGCAAGTCTTTATCGTCTTTGAAAGTCAGGTTATTCTGAAAGCTTTGGACTAACACAGAGACAATGCATAAGCGCCGTACTGAATGCCATTGAACTTTGAAGCAGTTGGTCCAGCATAATAGAGTTCAACCCGTTTGGGTTGCTGGACGTCGGCAGGTTAATTGAAAAGCTGAAAAATCGACATGGTTAGATAAGAGCACCCAAGAGGTTCCGAGAACAGACAAAGTAGGTATAACAGCGGCCAACTTTGAACTGTTTGTTAAAGCTCAAACCAATCTGGGATGCTGAAACAACCTTAAGGACTTAAGTCCCATGAAACTGTCAAAGTGATCTAGATTTCCTTAGAGGAAATGCAAACCGGCGCTATTAAGTTTAAAAAGAAAAGAAATGGTCTCCTTTATGTCCAGTTTTTACCAACTTGACCACAAACTTATGTCCAGATTTTTAATGGCCAAAAATGTTCATATTTAACTCAAAAATTATTCACGATTCTTGAAAGATAAAGAATGTAAAATTTTTAAATGATCAAAATATTTTACAACAATTTTGAATTTACCAAAAATGTAAACGTTATGAAAAATATATATTCAGTTCTCAAAGAGAACCTTCACCTTAATTCTTTTATGACCAAAAGTTTATGCGCTAAAATTTATGTCCACTTTTTAAATAACCATATGTATTGTATGTATGCCCACTTTTTACATATATCACCAAATGTTTATGTCCAACTTAAAACTTACTCAAAAATTATTCCCGGTTCATAAATGATCAAAAATGTTAATATTTAACTGACCAAAACTTTTTGTCCAATTCGAAAAACTTTTGCCCACTTTTTAATAACCAAAAATTTATGTCCAGTTGTTGGACGACCAGGAGAACTTATGTTTATTTTTTTTACTTGCAAAAATTTATGTCCAGTTCTTAAATAATCAAAAATTTATGTCCAGTTTTAAAATAACCAAACATTTAAGTCCGCATTTTAAATGACAAAATATTTATGTCTGACCTTTAATGAGCTAAAATTGAAACTCGTTTCCAAGATTACCAAAAATTCATATTTACTTTCTAATGGCCCAAAATGATGGCCGATTTTTTTAATGAACGCATGTTCAGTAGATCGAAATAGAAAAAAAAGTTCGCCCTCCACCTTCGAATCGAAAGTATTTTTGCACCGCAATTTCGAAAAAAGAAGAAGGTATTTTTTTACCAAACGCACGGGTCGTCATTTTACACTTCCCGTCATATCTTCGGATGTTCTTGTCTGGAGATGATAATTTCGTTTCAAAAGCACTTGACCTCAAGTACCACGTTTCAGTACTTACCCACTAGATCTCAGTTCTTATCACCCTAATGTCGGTGAATTAAACCTCGGAAAAAATCATTAAACTTTTGCTTAGGAAGTATTTCGATTCGAAAGCGATTTTTTTGCCCGAACGTAGGAGTCGCCTTTAAATTTTTCCGCATATCTTCGGCACTTACAGTCGGATCTTAAGGACTGATATATCGGTGTTCTTGTCTCGAAGAAAAAAAATTTGTTTTCTCCAAAGTTAATTTACCTCAAATAACTGGTTCTAGTACTTACCCACCAGATCTTAGTTCCTACCACCCTAACGTACCAACCTAATGCCAGTAAATTAAAGCTCGCTAGAAATCATTCAACTTTTGTTAATAGGTATTTTGATTACTCAAGTAAAACTATTCAAAAAAAAAATTGTTTATTGCTGAATGTATGTAAGTATCACCGAATAACTAAAAAGGCTACCAAAATGAACAAAAATTAAGTCCAGTTTCGAAATTTACATATGTCAAGCTTTAATATAATCTTTGAGTAGTTAAGTTTTCACGAGGATACTTGTTTGTTTTGACTTTTGACCAGGTTTTTAAAACTGCCAAACTCTTTCAGTAATCAATTACAGTCAATCAGTTCTGCTTTTTTCTATTCTCTCCTAATAGATAGTGTTAGTTATTCGAAGTTGTGCCGATTAAATAACTTTCAGTCATAAACATCCTGATCTCCGCATCGGATACTGAATAATCGCACTGCGACGAATGAGAATGTTCGTTCTTTCTTCATCGAACCGGATATCAGAAGACATAATGATATAAGTATACGTCAGTCGTAAATTTGTTTTATGGTTGATTCTTATGAGTTTTTATAAAATTACTTAAAAAAGCCGAACTACTTAGAAACTGTTTATTTATAATAGTTTCTGTTTTCGCCTTTTCCTCTTCTAGGACATCTTCACCACGCTGGTCGATGCACAATGGCGTTGGACAATGCTTGTTTTTGCGCTCAG